TACACAGAAAATATTTGTACCAGAAAGTAATTGTGCAGTAAGGCGAACATTCATCCTACCAACCATTGTTTCACTGAAAATATGAGCTGATTTTTAAGTCTAATTTTCTTTTAATGATAATCTCATGCACACTACCACCCAACGGTTATGACTTCATGGGAAGGGTAGGGGTTCCTTACATAGAAATAAGCCTTACTACTTAGGCTTAAGGTCAAAGCCTTGCTTATATCTTCTCCCCAGTGTTTTATCATTTTGCCCACAATTATTGCAGTTATTTGAGCTTCTGAAAAGTAAAGTAAACGCTTAATCAATCTTTAATATATTTCATAAAGTTATTTTTTGAATTATTAAGCTTACTTTGTGACACATATTTTCATAATTCTTATTTTCAACAATTAATTCATCCCTTTCTCTGATCATTGCATTAAGTTGTGTATGCAATATTTTAATAGACTCGTAAAAAAAAGAAAAAAAAAGAAAAAGAATTTTTTCTTTTTTTTCAAGTATGCTAAAATCATTTTCTGTCGGACTATTTTCTCTTGAGTCTCCTTGCTACAAACTGAAATTCCTCACTTTGGAGGTTCTGAAAATAAAGGATTTGTAAATAACTGCCTCTATACAGTTCAGTGACTGGTGTATTCATAGAAGCTACTGAGCTTACTAAAAATATATTTGTTCAATTAAATAACAGTTTTCAACTGCCTATGGGCAAAAATGAGACTAGCATTTGTCATAAAAGTTGTAATTGGGAATATGCATTACTAAATATGCCATGTTTTAATACTCCTCATAAATGTTCCACTATACCACTCTGTATAAAGTTCTTTTATTAATAGGTTTTTAATCTACAAAACTGCATTAACCCAACCGCCCCACATTTATGTTCTGTCCCCTGTAGGTTTTTGTGAATGTTGTTACATACAGATAGCTCCACAGCCGTTAAGGAGTCCATTAGTAGCCCCAGTGACCGATCCTGATTTCCCCATTTCTTGAATTGGCGGAAAAATGTTATTCTTTATTTTTTTTTAATACAGTTTACAGCAATACTGTTCGTCACTCGTGGTCCCACTCGTGTATGTACTTTTGATGAGTCAACACCTTGTTAAAACACAGCAACAACAAACAAATAAGTCTTGTGACACAAGAGCAACCCTGGAGCCAGGGGCCTCTCGTCTCGCTTGACATTGTTGTTGAGTTAAATAAAGTAAAACCTGTAGTTACAGACCTTTGCGCACTTTATAGTGCTTTGCCAGCACCTTCAGTGCTCTTGCTTTTGCAGGTGGCACGAGGCACCACCCCACCTCAGACCTGCAGCTCTCTTCTACACTAGGGTAGCCCTTGTGGCTTTGACCCCTGGGTAGGGAGGCCCAGTAGTCTGGGGCGTCATTTGGGTGCACTCTTTCTTTGGTTCTAAATTCTTCTCCTCATAATGTGTCTTCCCTGAGCTTACCGGAGTTCCTCGTGAACTCCTGTATTCGCTTGGGGGGTGGGCATTGATACCGTCCTTCGCCTAGGCAAGTTCGGCGGTAAGGAAGTGTCCCACACATAACTCGATCCCTCTCTGGTACTGGAGAACGTAACCAGGCTTCCACTGAGGGGGTAGAGGATGTAAAACTGCCCTGCTCTCTTAGCTATTACTGTTAGGTTGATACCAAGAGTTAAGAGTTTTTGGTCCCTTCAGGACAACAATTTTGAGACAAGGGGTCGGATCTGGTCCGATACCCAGGATGGATGCTACCCCGGCTACCCCTTCTCCTCCTCAAGAAGGAGGGGCGACTAATGACCCTTCTATGACTAATCTGACCATGAACAACTAACGACAAAACGAGACGACCACTCTTTAGAATCCCAACTGAGAATATGTTCACGATTGTAAGATGCGTGAATCAATCGCTTTTAAACGTGAACTCCTTTCTCATTGAAAATGTCCTTAATGGTCTAGTGGACGGCGATTTTAATTTTGTCAAAAAATTGCGAGATGGAAGCCTCCTTGTTAAAGTACTATACAACTCCAAGATTAAGGATTTACTGAAGCTGACGCAAATTCATGATCTTCGAGTTAAAGTAACTATTCCTATTGGCCCAAATACCTGTAAGGGAGTAATCTTTCACAGGGATTTGAGGACGATAGAAGAAAGTGAAATTCACGAGAGCATGAAGGACCAAGATGTAGTGGACATTTATAATATTACCAAGAAGGATGGGAATGTGCGAACGAAAACTGGACTGTGTTTTTTTACCTTTGCCTTAAATAAAATCCCTAAATATGTCAATGTCGGTTATGAGCATATTCAAGTAAAACCTTATGCCCAAAAGCCAATCCATTGTAATACATGCCAAAAATTCGGACACACCTCATTAAGATATAATAATAAAACTCTACTAAATTCACTTGCCGTAAATGTTCTGAAGCCCATGACACCATCACATGAACTAGCCAGATTTCCAAATGTACCAACTGTAGAGGTCACCAACAGTCAGGATCTGCTGAGTGCAGCAT